CAGCCCGCCTGGCACCCGGTTCCTGTGGCTGAGCAGCGCCAAGAGGCTGGAGCCGGCCTCCCGCAAACTTGAGTAGCTCGGCTTAGCTAAGTCTCTGTGTTTTGACTTCCTGCTGCAGGGTAGCAGCTGGAGACTTAGTTTTCTTTTCATGAGGACTTCCTCTGCCAGATGTTTAGGTGGGCGCCACCCACTTCCCGGCCACTGTATACAGAGCTGTGGTTGTCTGAGAGCTATGGGGGACTATGCATTTGATGCCAGACCACCTTTGCCATTGGGGCTGGAGCCTTGATTGCAGACAGCAGCCTGGCCTGGGGGCTGCCTCCTGGGTCAGTGAGTCCACACTCCGAATTCAAGGCAAAAGAGACCCCCACCGATAGATGAGCATGACGAGGCTCATATGCTGCCCTCCCTGCAGGGAGCTATATTGAGCGTGAGGGGACAGCCACCCCAACGCCACCAGGAGCGAGCCCATCCCCTGCCCCTCCTGGACTTCACTCACACCAAGAGCAGGATCAGCTCCAACTACACCCGAGGATGGGCATGGTATGGTTTGGACACTGCCCCAGCCCAGCTCCTCCCTTGGCTCTGAGTTTTAGAGCTGGGGCTGTTTGCTGGACAGCCACTGGGGGCGTGTGGAAGTGGACGAGCTGAGGCCTGCAGCATGGAACAGCCCCAGAGACCTGGCTGCCAGCCCTGCTTGTTCAGCATTGTTGCTGGCTGGCTGCGTGGTGAAAGGGTGGTGGGTCTGCCCTGAGACCTGGGGCAGGGTGTGAATTTGTGTGTTCTCCCTACTGGCTTTGGGTCAGAAGGTCCCTTACTCAGCACCCACTGCAGGCTGTCTTGTTGGATTCTGGGGACACAAGGCAGTAGTATGTTTATTCAGGCAGCCTGTTGTCTGGAGAGGAACATGAGACAACTGTGATACAAGGAGCTTGCCTGCTGGAAGAGCACAGCATGGAGATGGCAAGTGCTTCAGAGGAGCCATGGGGGTAAAGGGAGTGAGGGGGGCTCCCACACAGGAAAGGCTATGTGGGGAAGTGCCAAATGGCGAGCTCACCTGGGGATCCATGTACCCCAACGTGCTCACTGCCAGGACTGAGCTATCATGCCTGTGAATACCCTAGGTGGTGGTATATTCCCTTTGGGGCATGCTGCCTTTCCATGTTGCACGGTCTACCCTGTTGCACTTTTTTTGAGTGTTGGGGATTGAACTCAGGGCCTCCCGCTCTACTCCCTGAGCAGGGATCCTCCTACTGCTACCTCCCAGGTATCTGGGACCATAGGCGTGTGTCTTCATACCTGACTGTGCTCTGTTTTTGATCACCTGCCCCCTCTAGGCTCCATGGAGCCCAGGGTTCTCGGTGGAAGACATTTAGGGATCTCAGTCTGGGGCTAGGATCACTCATGATCATTTTCGCTGTTAGGCCTTCTCTGTGGTCAGAGTCCAGGACTTTGCATTTTAGAAAAAAAATTACGATTTTTCCACTTCAACAATGCAGGGTCTTAACTGACTTCTTTGACTGCCATATAGACCTCTTTGCAGCTCTCTTATTAAAATATGAAAGGATGCCAAGCGCCCGTGGCTCACGCCTGTAATCCTAGCTGCTCAGGAGGCAGAGATCAGGAGGATCAAGGTTCAAAGCCAGCCCAGGCAAATAGTTTGCAAGACCCTATCTCGAAAACCCATCATAAAAAAGGGCTGGTGGAGTGACTCAAGGTGTAGGCCCTGAGTTCAAACCCCAGTATTGCAAAAAAAAAAAAAAGAGAGAGAGAGGATACACATGAAAACATGGGGCTTCTTCAGTCTTTTCAACAACAGTCAGCCCTCTGTATTCAAGAGTTGTGGATTCATGGATTAATCTACAGTGGGTGGAATTTTTAAATTGCACTATACTGAACACGTACATGCTTTTTTTCCCCTTAAAACAATATGTGTTTCGTTCCTTAAACAATACAGCATATTTACCTAGCATTGACATTATACTAGATGTTATAGAGAATGAGAGATGATTTAAAGTATACAAGAGGATGTGCACAGGTTATATGCATATGTGCCATTTTGCAAAAGGCTTTTGAGCATCCATGAATTTTAGTATCCCTGGTGCTTGGTGGTGGTGGTGGTGGTGATTCTGAACTCAGTTGCCCAAGGACACAAAGGGAGGACTATAATGATCTTTTTGTCTGCTCTGTCACCAACCTTACATGCAGTTAGGTTCGTTTGTTTTATGTTATTCATGGTTTTTAGGAATTTTTTTGCGCATTGATGTAATTTTATTTTTCAAATTCAGAAACCACGTATAGGAATCAAAAGAACAAAAGTGATACAAGATGCGTTTAGATCAGTCTTATTTGCACTTCTGTCCCTCACACTTCTCCCCCTTTCTGTATCAATGCGGTGCCGCTTTTATCCTCTCATAGATTCTTTTGGATATGTGTATACTTGTGTGTGTGCGCGCGTGTGTGTGCGCAGAAGGGCTGGCTCTGCTGTGGGCTCAGGACTGTCTGGTTTGAGGCTAGCGGGACAGGGTGGCAGTGGTATCTTCCTGTGAGCCTCGTGCCTCGCCTTGTCTGGTCCTATGTTGGCTGTTTTTACAGATGACAACACTAAGGCTCTTGAAGAAAAGAGGATGTCTAGGGTCTCTTGTGCACGAAGAGAGAGGTGATTCTAGGTAGCTCCCTTCCAGTGGAAGAAGCATCTAATGTCAGCTCCACAGCACCAAAGCAGTGACTGAGCTAAGCCAGAGGGTCTAGCAGGAATCCAGGGCCTGACACCAGGGAGTGCTGCACAAAGCCAAAGAAAGCATGTCTGAGGGGAGAGGAGCCAGGACTTGGCATTGAGAAAGGCAGGCTGCCATGGTCAGGAAAAGACCCGGTACTCAGGCTAACCCATAAGTCCAAAGGCCTCGCTCCAGCTGGTGGAGAGATGACTTTTGTGCATCTTGACTAAATAAATGTCTGTCCTTTGTGGGGTCACCTGTAGGGTCTAAGTTGTCTCACCCTGGGCCACAGAGGCCAACCCTTGTCTACATTGAAAGAAACAAAAATAATACACAACCACCTCACATTAAAACCAAAGGAAGGAAAAGAAAAAAAGGAAGGGCTGGTGAAGTGGCTTAAGTGGTAGAGCACTTGCCTAGCAAGTGCTAGTAAGGCCCTGAGTTCAAACCCCAGTACCTCCACCAAAAAAAAAGAAAAGAGAATGGGGTTATGAGTGTGGCTCAGTGGTAGAGTACTTGCCTAGCTTGCATGAGGTCCTGGGTTTGATATCTAATAACGCAAAAATGAAAAACAGAAAGAATGAAGAGTAGTTGTCAATAGTGGAAAGGTGAGGGTGAACAGAGGGCATACAACAAGGACATGAGGGAGGTTAGGTCCCAGGCGATGTGAGCTGGTCTGGATCCTGTGTTACTGGCCACTCTAGGTCTTTCTTCCAGGGTTCCTTAAGACCCTTCATGCAACCTTTGGGAAGCAACCTACAGACCTTACCTGAGCAAGGGACCAGACCCTGGGACCTGAGCATCAGCTGGGGCTGCAGCCTGAAATGTGGCCAACTCCTCCTCAGCCTATCCAGTCAGAGAGGAGGCCATCAGGAGCCATTAGGTATCCCTCAGAGGAGGCCTGGCTGGACATTCAAGGCCTAGGGTCATGGTTCTCATTGCCTGATGGAATTGGGGTGTGATGTGTGGGACAACACAGGTGTGAAGGACAGACAGAGTTCTGGGTGCCAACAGCACCACTCCATCTCCCAAGGAAGGTCTGGTTTCTCCCGATCAAGTCAGTCTCAGAGCCTTTGATGCTGGTCCTGGTGCTGCTGCAGCAAGACCTGGGCCAAGGCCTATGGAAGGTTCTGGGAGTCCTATAGCCAGCAGTCTGATGTTGGGCAGCAGCTGCATCAGCAAGCTGCTTCCTCAGTGCCAGAAAGTGGTGCCCAGGAAGGACTCTTCCATGGCTGGTACCCCACAGTGCACATTAGTGTGCCAGTTTTGTGACATTTGACAAAGGTCCATTCCAGACCCCCTCCGCCCCTCCTCCACAGTGAGACCACTTGATGCTGTGTTTCACGTTTGTCCATTTCTAAGTGGCCATGATGAGAAATGTTTTAACTTTTTTTTTTTTTAAAACAGGATCTCGGGCTGGTGGAGTGGCTCAAGTGGTAGAGCGCCTGCCTACCAAGCACAAAGCCCTGAGTTCAAATCCCAGTACCACCAAAAAAAGATCTCATTTGCCCAAGCTGGTCTCTAACTTGTGAACTCCAGAAATCCTCCTGCCTCAGTCTCCTGAGTAGCTGGGATTGTTGGCAGGCCACCGCACCCAGCTCTAAGAAATGTTTTACTTACTTACTTGTTTTTTGTTTGTTTATATATTACCATATTATGGTTGTGCTGGGGTACATTGTGACATTTACAAAAGTGCTTCCAACACATCTAAGTAAAATTCACCCCCTCTATCATTCTCCTTCATCCTCCCTCCCTCCATTCTTAGAATAGTTTAACAGGTCTCATTTTTCATACATGACTGCACAGCATTTCTGCCATATTCGCCCTCCTGCACCCTTTCCTTATCTCCTCCTCCCTCCCACTGGTACCAACCCCTAGACAGGAGCTGTTTTACCTTCCTATCCTCTGTTTTTGAAAAAAACAAACCAACTTTCTGTTGTTGTTGTTGAAGATTTCTATGCAGAGTCTCGTTATGACGTTTCCATGTATGTATGTATTTTATCCTGACGTGGTTCATCCCCTCCATTTTTCTTCTTTTTACCTTAGTCTTCTTACGAGGATTTCAACACATGCTAAGCAAGTGCTCTGCCACTAGGCCACACCCCAGTCCTTGGTGTTTGGAGACAGGGCATCACACTGTAGCTGAGGCGGGATCATCCTGATCTGCCTTCCAAGTGCTGGGATTATGGCCGTGTGCCACCACACCCAGCTGAAATGTTCAATAAAAAGAAACCTAGGTCAAAGCTGCTAAAAAAAAATCAACCTTCTCTGTCTTTTCTTCAGGGAGAGTTCCAGAAACTAAAGGTCTGAACCTGGAGAAGGCTGGAGTGAACATCAATCCCAAGAATCAGAAGATCCTTGTGGACTCTGGGGATGTCACCTCTGTCCCGCATATCTATGCCATAGGAGATGTTGCTGAGGTACAACCTCTGCCCTCCTGACCAGCCCTAGCAGCTGGGACTCCCAGTCCTCTCTACCCACCCCCTACCCCAGCTGGGCCTTAAGGTACATATTCTCTTCCAGATGCTGTCCCATGGAAAAGAGACTCTTCTTTCTTTAACCACGGGGCACCGATCACATGGCCACACCGCTCGGACTAGTAGGGTCCTTCCTGAAAAGAAAGGAGTGTCCGACTGCTTTTTCAAATGCTTTTCTTTTCTGTGAAGGGTTGGTGTCGGACAGCTTAAAAAACAGCTATAAGCACAATTAGCTAAACCTCACCAGTGCTGTTGCTGGATATGGCCTTGGGACCATTCTGTCCCCAAAGGGGTAGAGGGCAGTCTCATTTTAGGTCTATCTGGCCCTGTCCTCCTCGCCTTAGTTTACCCTCTGCTCTGCAGGCAGCTTTGGTTCCTTCACTGACTGGGCCAGCACATGGGAGCAGGGCCTCTGCTCTCATCCACTGCTATAGAATAGGGACCAGCATTGATCTTTCCTGGGTCAGGGTGGGAGTCTCAACCTGTGAAAGGCATGAACACTCTGGAAGATGTCCTCCGGGCCTGTGGCCATGGTCACTGCCCCTGCCTGCCCCAGAAATCAGAGGCTACAGCTCATCTCCAATGAAGCCCTTGTGGCAGTCCCCATACTCCCTTTCAGAGTTTAGGAAACATCCAGTCATCATCCCTCTCCTTCATGGGTCCCCAGCAAGAGACATGTGTGGTCAGTCCCGGGCCACTGCATCCCCAAGTCTCAGGAGCAGTTGTCCTGTCCTGCATTTTTCTAATACATCTTCAGGAGTTCCCTGGTCAAAAAGGTTGAGAGGTGCTCCCTGTGTCCCCGGGCCCTTTCTCCTCTTTGTGGTGAGACCTGCCTATGGCATCCATGTGTGTGTTCATGAGTGACTTGAAGAACAGAAATTATTCTCTCACCTGCCTGGGGCAGATGTGGGTAGGGCTGCACTCCCTCAGGACCCTCTGGGGAAGATGCTTCTGACCTTGTTTAGCTTTAGGCTGCCCCAGATGTCCTTCAGGTTCTGTCACATCATTCCAGTTTATGCCCATCATCACTGTCACCATGCCCTTATCTGGCCTTACAGTTTGTCTCTCATCAGATTTAGGCCCATCCTAATCCACTATGACCTTACTTATATCTGCAAGAACCCTTCTTCCAAGTAAGGTCACATTCTAAGTTCCAGGCAAACATGAATTTTTTTTTTTTTTTGGTGGCAGTGGGGTTAACTCAGGGCCTTGTGCTTGCTAGGTAGGTGCTCTTACTGATTGAGATTGAGCCATTCTGCCAGCACCCAGACATGAATTTTGGGATGCAATTCAACCCACCCCAGTGTTTTAAGATACATTTGTTCACCAGGTGTATCCCCTTGAGCACCCCTGGATATCAGGTACATTTCTGAGTACTAGGGACACAGCAGGAACAAAATGCCCACTCACCTGGAGGTACATCTTGGTAGGGATCACAGGTGACAGTAAATCAGTGAATTATTTCAGGTGTCTTAGTGCCAGTGATCAGGAGAGGCCTTAGGGGAGTTACCTGAGGGGACCCAAGTGGTATGCACTCCTTGGCTGGAGGACAGCAGGCTCCATGAGGACACCAGAACCCTCAGGAGGGTGCACACGGTACCCTTCTCTGGATCACTCTGGAACTCACTTTGCGAAATGCCAGGGAGGATTCTGGGGGAGTGGAAGTCAGTATCTGAGTCCAGCAGGTGCCCATATGGGCACAGGTGACTATTGTCATCAGTGCTGAAGAACTGTCCCTTCCTGAGCTCTGCTGAAGCTCTTGCTGGGCTGGGGGAGAGCTTAGCCCCTACAAGGAAACAGGCTAGGGAAGAAGGCTGGGCAAGGCTGGAGGCTGGCCTGCCCATTTGGCACGTTAGTCCTGCCAGACCCTGGTCCCTTGTAGATCTCCACTTCTGGGGCATTGCGACTCCTGGTATCCAGAGAGGTCACCTGCTGGCCATGACCACTGCTTAGATGTGAGCCAAGTAGCAGTTGCTTAAGGACCATCAGGCCCCTATGCCCTAGGCTCAGGAAACAGTGGTATGGGACACTGAGGACACAGGGCACCCCTGCTGCCAGGTGTGAGGGCCCCCATGTGGCAGTTCCAAGGCCTGTCACACAGAAGAGCACTTCTGGGGCAGCTCTGAGGGGACTGTCTGTCAGTTTGACCCTGCTCCTACTGGGTCATATAGGAGCCATTTAAGTGATGGCTTCACATGTTGACTGTCCTCACACTGAGCTGGCTGTGCACTTGATTGGCCCCTCTCTGTGATTGATGTGGCCACAGTGATCTCTAATTGCAGGCTTCTATTGAATCCTGCAGGCACTGCACTGTAAGACAGCACACATATTCTTCCCAGAAGAGGGCCCTGTATATCTCTGTGTACCCCTGGAAACCTGCTTTGCACCCACGAATGTGCAGCTCCTAGGCACCACAACATGTAAAAACGATAACAGTTCAAACTGTGTTGCCAGAAATATATGGCGCACACAAAGGCATTCTTTATTTAAAAAAAATTATGCTGGGTGCCGGTGGCTCATGCCTGTAATCCTAGCTACTCAAGAGTCAGAGATCAGGATGATCACAGTTCGAAGCCAGCCCAGGCAAACAGTTCACAAGACCCTATTTTGAAAAAAACCATCACAAAAAAGGACAGGCAGAGTGACTCAAGGTATAGGCCCTGAGTTCAAGCCCCACTACCCAAAAAAATGAAAAAATAAAAAACAAATCCATGCAGCTTGAAGGGTCACTAAGCAGTGCGAAGAGTTAACACCCCAGTGGTCAGACCAGAGGCTGGGAAGAACCCCAGGGTGGAGCAGGGGGGCCACTGTTTAATGAGATATTGTGTGCTGTGTGCATGGGTGTTTCCGTAGTTAGTCAGGCCTGGTGGAATGTGCAGTCTGCTTTCCCAGGTTTATCTCTGCAGATCTCTATTCATTTCTGGAATGCCAAACAACATCTGCATTTCCTGCTGCAGAGGTGATTGGCAGCTGGTCCCAAGCCAGCACATGCAGGAACACTCAAGGCAGGGCACACCCTGGGACAGAGGAGGGGTCTTCCGCAGAATGACACTGATTTGGGATTTGTTATGGGCTGTGACGTGCATATCAAGCTGTGTGTCAGGAGCACGTGGCAAGCTTGGGGCTGTATTAGCTAGAATCCCAGTTAATAGCAATAGAAGCAAAGATCTGTGTTGAGGTTTGTCTTGGGGATTGCCTGCTGGGGTCATCATTGGGAATGAGGGGTTCAGAGAGAAGGCTTGAGCCAGTGACGGTGACATGGCCTGGCTCATTAGCAGCTCATTTTCTTTTCCAGGGAAGGGGATTGCAACTATAGGCATCTCCCCAAAGAAGGATGGAGGGAAGCCAGTGGGATAATGAGCAAATGCCCAAGCCTGCTCACCATGAGAGAATTAGTGTAGAGTGCAGAAGGCTTTTAGTGCTCCTAGGCTGCCTGGCGAACTGTTTGGGCATTTTCAACAGGGAGCTACCCACTAGGATGGGCATGGGTGGTGGCATGGCAGCTGTACAGGCTTCCTTGGATGTGATGCTGAGGTAACCTCAAGCCCCTTCTATCAGGGACGGCCTGAGCTGACCCCCACGGCCATCATGGCAGGGAAACTCCTGGCCAATCGGCTGTTTGCACAATCCTCAGACCTGATGGATTACAGCAACGTGAGTTCTCTCTCTCTCTCTCTCTCTCTCTGTTTTTTTTTTTGTTTGTTTGTTTTTGTTTTTTAGACAATGCAACTCTATGATTGGCCTGCAACTCTTTTATGTAGGCCAGATTGGCCTTGAATCTGTGGTTCTCCTGCCTCAGCCTCCCAAGTGCTGGAATTATACATATGTGTCACCATGAGTTCTCTCAAAGGACCCAGTTCAGCCTGGGAAAGGCCGGGGCTGGTTCTTTTTGGGGGAGGAACGCATGTGCAACCTATGTGCATGCATGTGCACAGTGCCTGTGTTTGCATGCATTAGAGTATTTTGTGCACATGTGTGCACTTGCCTGCATGTGTGTGCACGAGCATGAGTGCAAGCATGTGTGTGGTTTGGCTCTGAGTGTGCAGCCCAGGAATAGTGAGTGGATTCACCCATTGTGCTCACAGCCTGCCAACCAGAGTGGCTGGTGCCCTGGCCTGGGATCGTTGTTAAAGTGTCACACTGTTGGGGGGGGGGGTTGCTTTTTCAATTTCAGATGCCTGAGAGACATACCTGATTCCAGACCTGCTTTCCAGGTTCCCACAACTGTCTTTACTCCGCTGGAATACGGTTGTGTGGGGCTGTCAGAAGAGGAGGCTGTGGCTCGCCATGGACAGGAACATATAGAGGTAGGGACTGCTGCCACTGCAGGAGACTCTGTGTCCTTTCCCTGGGTGGAGGCACTGTGAGCAGGGGTATCAGTGTTCCCACTTCTGCAGGGGCTGTGGCTTGGCAGGCTATGGTATGGGGCCTAGCATGGCGGCCAGAGCTCAAAGGGCCACAGACACATGGGCAGGAGCATTGGAGGGGATCTCCAGAAATGTGGGAAAAACAAGACTTTGGTGTGTAGCCGAGCCTTGACCCCTGTGGTCTCATCAGCCACCTGCTGCCCTATGTTGTAACTGAGAAAAGGCCCCAGGCGTCCATGTTCTGAGGCTTTCCCCACTTCACAGGGGCATGTCTCTCTCAATTCTGGAATGGCTTCCCCAGGGCATCCTCTGACCTCTGCTCCCCTCACCCCATCCTCCTATCTCAGTTGGCCCGTTCTCTCCTACCTGCACCTCTGCCTTCCTGGGACTCCCCTAGAGGCACAATCATGACCCTCAAGTGCCCAAGCCTCCAGTCCTCTTCCCAGGTTCATCCTGTTCTCTTGGGAGTGACCTGATCAGATGGCCTGATATTGGGCACTCACCTCCAGGAAGGGGTTTTGTGTCAGGCCAGGCTGCTTTTGGGGATCTGCCTTGAAAGGAAGCTGGGTGCCCCTGGTGCAGTTTCATCTTCCCACTTGCAGCAGCTTGCAGGCGGTGGGGGAAACCAGACCCCGTGTGGCCTGGGCGATGTGGCCTGTGCCGTTCAGGAATGAGTCACCGGACTCCAGGACCCGCCCCTTCCCCCACATCCCAAGCCTCTTCATCAATTCCCCGGCACTTTATTTGCTATTTTTATTTGATTCATCATAAGTACACTGGGACATATGTTCGTGGCATTTTATAATGTTTTATGTTTCACAATGTTGAATGGCCAAATACCCTTTGTTTGTTTTCTTTTCAGTTCTGTCTTGCTTAGAGCAATATTCTCTGAAGCGCTATTAATTAATAATGGCTGTGCAGCACATGTGAGGTCCCTGTTCATTTTTTACCCAGCCGCAGCCCCAGATGCACTGTCGAACTCTTCGTGGGTGCTGAAAGCCCTTGTCCGACAGCTCCGGTGTGGCCGGGACCTGCCCTGCCCCCAGCCACCCTGCGCCAGCCCCCCTTCTCCTTGCTGAAGTTAGGGCCAAGCCAGTGCCAGGGAGTCCAAGGGAGACCAGGAAGTTCCCCACTATTCCATTTCAGCCCACGTCAGTGAGATGGGCACCCTTCCATCAGCCACCGCCTTCAGTTGCCCTGTCTAGTGTACAGTGGTCATCGGGAGACCTATGTCTATTCCACATCTGTCCCTTGGAGGGCACCCTAGTGCCATGGCCTGAGCCCTGATCTCTGTGACACATCATTGTGGTGTCACTTGGGTAGTCTGATGCCCACTCTGCTGCTACAGTACATGGGCAGGGGAGGGGGGGGTCTCAGGTCTGGCAGGAGTCTGCCACAGACCACGTGGCCTACCCATGGGAGGGGAGACACTCTCGCAGCCAGTTGAACTGTGCCCTCACCCTTGACAATATCTTTGGGTCAAGTGGGTGGTTTTGGGGTCCCTGAGAATCCCTACCATCCCCATATTCTTCCTGTTAGAGCCATAAAATGCCCATAGTGCATAGGCACTAGTATTGGTTTTGCCGTGGCCACCAATGTCAGGAATTGGTGTCTTGTCATCTAGGTTTATCATGCATATTATAAACCACTAGAATTCACTGTGGCAGAACGGGATGCATCCCAGTGTTACATAAAGGTAAGTGTCCTTGGGGACCCAGGATTGAGGTGTCCTGGGGATGAGAAGGAAGGAGGAAAAGAGGGAGCAATAGGTGGAGGGTGTCTTTGGTGCCCCCAGAACAGAGCAGCATGAATGTCTGAGGGCTACTTATGCCCCCAGGCTGGGGCTGCAGAGATGGGGTGCAGCTGAGTCCCTCCTGGCCTGGCCATTGGCTGAGACAATGTGACTTTCAGATGGTGTGCCTGAGGGAGCCCCCACAGCTGGTGCTAGGCCTGCACTTCCTCGGCCCCAACGCTGGCGAAGTTACTCAAGGATTTGCTCTGGGGATCAAGTAAGTCTGAGGAATGTCGTTCTGTGATGCCCAGGTTATGTCCCTCCGGGGCTGGCCACACTGCAGAGGAAGCCTGCGGGTGTCATGTTGCTCTCACATGGCTTTGTACATGTTCCCAGCAGGGACACTTCAGGCTCTCTTCAGACATGGAAGGCTCACTTGGGGAGAAGCAGCTTTCTTTGCCAGCTAAACACTTTTTGGCCAGAGCCACACAGTATGTCTGCTGTGGCTGGAAGATCACTTTGGCCCCAGGTCATTATTTGGGCCTTTTCTGCATGGACAGAACAAGCAGTGTTGAGCCCTCAGTAGCCCATACCTCAGGCAGTCGTGAGCAAGGTCCAGATCCCGGGTATTCACGTATCTTCTGGGGGGTTGACTGTTACCTGGGTCCCGGGCTAAGACTTTGTTTTGTTTTGTATGTGTACATTACTGATATTGAACCCTGGGCCTTGCCCGGGCTAGGCAGACTACTCTACCACTGAGCTATCCCTGCCCTCAGGCTATGTGTCTTTGGAATACCAAGGCCTAAGCAGGCCTTGCAATGGCTGTAGATAGTGTAGATGTAGTGTAGGTGGCCTGGGGCAGTTGCAGGCGAAGACATCACACATGGCCTCTCAGAAAGGTAGCTGGTCCTAGGGCTTAGGAGAAGGGCCAGGCAGGAACAAGCTTTCTGTAGATGCAGCAGAGATGAGAGCGCACAGGGAGGGGTTAAGAGGAGGAGGACAGTATGTAGTCAGCTGTGGTCCCAAGTGTGTCTCCAACACACTTGGAGAGTTCTGGGGACAGGGAAGCACTGGGAGAGGGCTGAGGCAGGGGAGTAGGGATAATATGTTGAGGGACTCTGCAGGCAAAATGGAACTGCTGGGACAGGTGCCTCAGGGGACCCCGATTTCCTCTGCACACAGCCTGGGGCCTTGGATGTGGCCAGCTCTGTCATTGGGCTGGGGTGATGGCTGAGTTGTGGGAATCATATTCTCCTGAGGCAAGGGATAGCTAGGGTGAGCTCCTATCTTTTGAGTACACACCTGTGGTCCCTAAGCTACAGAGCTGTCATTAGAACCATCATTTGGAAGTTTTGTTCAGAGTAACCTTTGGATGGAACACCACGTGGGGCTACAGCCTCTGCTGAGAGTCCTGATGCAGCCCATGGGGTAGTTGTTACCATGGGTACAAGGAGAATAGCTGTTGGTGACCCTTGGAAGTTGGCCCTCTGACCCTGTGGGAATGATGGTAGACGGGAATGATGGTAGCTGGGCCATCCATGGCACCAGCTCTGTCTGAGAGATTCCTGGGGCTGGCAGGGGATAGGAGCAGCCCTGGCCCTATGTCACACGTCTGTTGCTGTCCTGTGCTCTGGCATGCAGACACTGTTGCCCAACCAACCTGGTTTCAGGGATAATTTCTGGAGAAGCCTCTTAAGTTGTAGCTGGCTCTCTCTCTCTTTTTTTTTTTTAAATCATATAACTGCAAAGGAATGATTTCCTTAATATGCAAAGAGCTCTTACAAGCAAATAACCAGAAAGAAAAACCTAAATAGGAGGTTCACAGGAAATAAAAATAAACAAGAAAAAGCTGTTGTGATTTGTAGTTTCAAATTTGGAATATTAAAATATACATAAAACACCAGGGAACCATTCCGGTTGTTCAGGAGTCCAAGGGTGTGACACTATCCAGAAGTAATGATTTTCCAGTGTCCACATGGTAAAGACACTGAAGGTCTGACCAGGCTTGAGTGCTGAGAGGTTTTCAGACATGGTTAGGAGGAGGTCTTGGGACGGACCTGCCCCCTGCCTGTATTTGAAACGCACACGCCTGTTGTTGAGTTAGGAATTTCCCCACCAGGTAGTCCAGCACACACATGCAGCACTTGTATAGACACAAGGACAGTCACTTATTGTAGCCTTGTCTAAAGGCAAGCAATGGAAGCTGTTGCCACCTGTACTTGGTAGCGCATCCATAAGTGCTGTACCCCCAAGGAGGCTGACAGTGAGTGCTGAAGTGTGTGCATTCATTCGGGGGCACGTAGAGCTGCTTGCAATACCCACAGCGGCCCTTGTCTGTAGACCTTGGGCACCTGTGCGGGGGAGCCTGGATGTGACCAGGTCTCCAAAGGCTTGGGGGGGCATCGAGGCTATTCCAGTGGAGGGCTGGGCCAGGTTGCCTTCCCCACACTCCTTTGTGCCCTCACTCTGCAGGCAAGGTGCCAGGGCTCGGGACACAGCCACCCACAGTCAGGTCCCTGCTTCATGCAGCAGGTGCTTGGGTAACAGTGTGACATGCCTCTGTGAGAAATCTTAAGCTGGGCAAGGTGGGAGATTGGGCAGGTGCAGTGCAGTATTACGAAGTGCTCTCCATGCCTTCCAAGTCCTTCCAATGGGCAAGATGGTATAGGTGCTGACTCCCTGCCTACTCCCCACCTCCTTCGTGCAGGTGTGGTGCCTCCCACGCACAGGTGATGCGGACAGTGGGCATCCACCCCACCTGCTCAGAGGAGGTGGTCAAGCTTCACATCTCCAAGCGCTCAGGCCTGGACCCCACTGTGACTGGCTGCTGAGGCTAAGCCACCATCCCTGCCTTGCCGATGGCACACGGTGAGCTCCCCCTCTACTGCCAGGCTCCTCAGAGGCCTGGATGCAGGTACGCAGGCTTGAGGGTAGAGGACATGACTTGGGGCATGGGGGAGCTACCATGATGAACATAGTGCCAGGTGTGTGGTGAGCTCTTCCTGCTGTGCCTAGGCCACAATGACCCAGAAACAGGACTGGGAGGGGACGCCACCCTCTGAAGGACACCCTGAGATCCCTGTCTGCCATTGCTGCTCCCCACGTGCAGGAGGTGTGGAAAGGTTGGGCTCACACCCACGGTGTTCTCTGGGCAGCTGCAAGTCTTTGCTTCCTGTGAGCTGTTAGCAGAGCTGGCCTCCCCCTCACCCCTGCAGAGTGAGCGCCAGTGCTGGCTCATTTCCCTCTTGCCCAGAAGGTGGAGACGCTGCCCTGTGCACAACCGGCTGCCGCCCTGCACATCTGGTTCTGCCACGGCTTTGCAAAGCTAGGATGGCGGAGAAGTGTCCTGAAGTCTCAGTGCAGTCCTCCTCTGAGGAAGAAGAAATTAGCAAATGCCGTTCTGGCCCCTGCCAAAGGCATGCATGTAGCCAGAGCATTGTCACTTCTCAGCCTGACCCAGCATCCTCAGAGCCCTAAAAGGGTGGGATCTCGGTCTATATGATTCAATCCTCCCTGTGACATCCCCCATGGCTGTCACCCCTTCTGAGATTGGGCCCCTCTCTGCCCTGGGGCTGAGGGAGAAGCTGTAGGAGGAGCAGTGTGCTCCCCTTGAGGTGTCTTCTGGCAGGTTTGGGTGTCCAGGTCAGCGGGGTGGGGGGTCTCACCCATAGTGGCACATGGCTCCATCATGGCCCTCCAAAACTAGGCCTAACTTTGATACAGAAACACAAAGCTCCTCAGAATACTACACCTCACGGAGTTGTTTTGTTAAGAGCCTGCTACAAATTTTTATCATTTCAAAATATTTTCATAGCATCCCTGGGACGCCTCAACCTGGGTGGGGTGGGCGTTGTCATTTCTGTCCCATCTCGCGAGGGTCCATGTGTAGCCAAGGGAGACACGACCAGGCAAATGTGAGGGGTGGCCTGTGCTGACCCCACCCATCATTGGCAGGACCGGAAGACCAGAGCTCAGGGGATGGTCGTGTGGAGTGTCCTGTGTCTGCACAGATGGCCTGTGTGCTCTGCAGGGATGGCCAGGGAGTAGTCGTCCCTATCTCTGTACCCCTATCCCCTCTTCTCTCTGGGCCAGCCCACTAGGCCCCCTGATGCTAGATGATGACGGCCTGGGCAGAAACCCACTAGGTGGACTGCCCATGTCTGAGCACCCTGGCATTTCTGGAGTTCAAATAAAGAGGGTGTTTTCCTAAAGCATGTTCTTCTGGTGGTGTTCTTGATGTGCTCCCCGGATTGTCAGGCGGGGGGCACAGGGCCTGGCCAGTCCGTCAGTTTCCTTGTCAAATGAGAGTAGCTTCCAAGACCTACTGGCAAGGGGAGCCTAAATCAGCCAGGACTCTCCAGAGCAAGTTCCCAGCAGCCAGTCAGGGGGCACTAGACCCCGACCCTTTCTGCCCCAGGTAGGACAGAGTGCCCTCTCCCATCATCCTCTCTTTCCAGTGTGGCTGCCCGGAAAGAAGACCTTACTGGGGACCTCCCCTGGGACCCTCTGCCAAGTGACTCCTGAGGTCTCCGTGTGCACCTTGAAGCAAGGAGTGCGGCCTAGCTCTCAGCAGGCACTGTTGGGGCTGGTGGCAGAAGGACAAGAGTTGGCAGGGCAGTTTGAGGCTTTCTGTCCCCAAACATCAGTCACCTCATTACATTTCCATTGTGGTCCTCCAAGACAGCTTGTCAGCTGTGCTTTGGTTAATCCTGTGCATTGAAGTTGATGGGCCAAGGGAGCGCTTGTCAGTCACTGTGGGAAGAGACAGTGCTGACAGCGACAGGCAGGGCCCAGCATTGTGCTGAGGCTTTAGCAGCAGCTAATCTCATGTCTTCCTTAAGAAAACATCACTTAGTCTGCCAGCCTGGGAGCCCTGGATGGGACCCTACTTGTCAGCGAACAAAAGAATGTGTTTGCACCTTAATGGGCCTACAGGAGCCTGGCTCATGGTGCTAAGCGTGTGCAGGAGCTCTCAGACGCCCAATTAAGACGCCAAGTGCTGGGCTGGGCCAGAGCCCTCCTGACAAGTGCAGAGCCAGATCAGCCGTGTCCCATTTAACGCACGGTTGGTGGTGCACCCAAGCCACCGACATCCTGCTGGGAGGGTTTGCCTCTAGGCTGAGCGTTTTGTCTGCTCTGGAGGCAAAGAGGTCAGCTAACACCTGCTGCCAGGAGCCAGTGGAGGTGGGAGGTGCTCTGGGGGTCCCATGGATTCCTCGGCCCTGGGAGCAGCCCAACGTGAGCCAAGCAAGCAGCTGGAAATGGTCTTGGTGCTTTGCAGTGGTAGAAAGGATGAAGCTTGCATGAGTCCCTCAGTACACACCAGGCATTTCTCCAGGAGTGAGAGCCTTTTGCCTTCCTGTCCACAACAGTACCTGACACTGGCAGCCAGAGTGCCACCCACACATGAATGTCCCCATAGCCCCTCGGGGTGGTTTTCTTACTCCCCTCTTTTTCCCAGAGCAGATCTTACACAACTGCCCCTGTAATTTCTGCTTTTTCGGCCTGTGCCATCCCCTAGGAGGGGCCAACCTTCATCCTGGAGGCCTCAGGACCTCTTCTCTCTCTCCTAGGGGCTTATGCACCCCTGCGAGATGGTGGGTCTGACCACATGGGACTGCTGCAGTTCTAAGTCTGCCATAAGATGCTCAGGGACTGCCACCACCTGGCCACATTCAGGGGAGGGTGCAGCAGCACACACTGGCCTGGCTGTGGGGCGCAGTGCCCTAGAACAATTTCAGCTTCCCCCCACTCACTTCTCTAGTAGGGTATAGGCTCAGAGCCCCACTCAGGAAGTTACGGAGCCAGGACAGGGACGAGAGGACCCTAATGGGGTAGCGTGTGCTGATCGGCACCTTCCCTGGGCCTCTTTCCCGGTTCTTGGACACTGTGCTTAAAGGTAGGGCCAGTGTCAGAAGCAGGAAACATGTGCTGTGCCAACAACAGCTTCTGTCCTGGGTGTCTGTACCGGCTGCAGGATCACTGTGTGACCAGCCCCCTCTCTGGGCCTACCTCAGCTCTGCCTCTCCTTCCAGAGAATGAAAGGAGGGGCCAGAGCGCCACAGGCCAGGTGCTCTCCACCTAGCCCCGGGGCCGCCTTCTCACCGCCCTTGCATGTTTTTATGGTGCAATGAAAATATGATTTTAATTCCTCAGATTGTTCCATGTAACCTGCAATTACCCCGGGCAACATCTTGCCCACTTCTGCTTGTGGCTCTGGATTGCGTAAGGACATGGGAAAGAGAGGAACGGGTTGGGGGTATGCACTTGGGCCAAGCTGCCCTTCTCTGCCTCACTCTGTCCTGGGAAATAGGTGGGTCACCCATCCCCTCTCTACACCTCACTCTCTCTCTCCTCCAGAGATCTTTTCATGCTGTCCTGAGGCCCCCTGGGGGGGTGGTATAAGAGGATGTGTGACCAGCAGGTAGGGGGAGGACCAGCAATGCAGCAGTGGAGTGTGGGGCCCCACAAGATCTCTGAGGAGGTGCCTGTGGCTGAGGTAAGGATGTGGAAGAGCCCATCGGCTCTCAGGGTGGTGAAATGCTCAGATCATTCTGAGTCTCCCACAGCCCTGTGGGGACCCCAGGTGGAGGGCATGTGCTTCTCCGGTGCTCTCCTGACTGTCGAAGTGTCCTCTGTGCCTGGGCCCTTGGGAGCCAGCAGTGTTTCCCCTGGTGAAGCAGCTCTATGTCACGTGGTGTCTAGCTCACAATGTCTGTGCCTGTGGCCTCAGGTTGGAACCTGTCCCTGACATCCGTGTGTTTGCTCTTCTCAGTGTCTGGGCATATGTGGCTCACTTCCCCAGGCAGCACTCCAGCCTCGGTGCCCAAGGTGGTGCCGGAGGTACCACCAGTGTCCTGGGCCTTGACTCACTCCCCAGTCTGAAGCCCAGAGGACAGGCCTGAGACCTCACCTGCCTCTCATCCACTGGGTACACACAGCTGCCTAGAGCTGCAGTCACAGGACCCACACAGGGGACACCGTGAGACAGCTCGCTGACGGCACTAGTCAGGGAGACTGTGCCATTGTAAGAAATCCAAGACCACAAAGCCACATCACTGAACCCTCTAGACCCTATTCAGGATCTAGGTGTCCAGACTTCTGGTCAGGGGTCCTTCTCCATGCCAAAGGCTAGACTGGTGGGTAGGGCTGCTTCTGCCTCCCTGAGCTCACCCAGGGTCCCTCAGAACAACTTTCCTTCCACCCAGGACCCGTGGGCTCCCAGGCCCCAGGCAAGGGTCCCTGCTTGCCAAGCCTGACCAAACCAACTGGCCTCCCCTTCCCTGACCTCTGACCACCTGGCCCACTCAGTTCATGAGACAGACAATGTGGGCAGGTCACTGCCAGACACAGGGGTGGGTCCCCATCTCCCAGACAACAGGAAGCAGCAGTGGCCAGAGCCCAAGGTTGGCAAATGGGCACTACACACCAAGGAGCAAGGAGTGTGCTTTGCAGCCAGGGCAGGTGCTAGGCTTAGCTCCAGGACCCACTGAAGCTGTAGTACATTTCTCTGTCCCACTGGGAACCACCTGTGAACCGGTCCTCCATCCAATGGAACCTGAGCCAGGTCTGGCTCCTGCGGGGCCATTGCTAGTCACAGCCTTTGAGGTAAATGCTCTGTCCTGGCCCCAAACTCACGGACTATGGACCTACCAGGTCCACACCTCAGCCCACCAAAACTGGGTGTGGATGAGGATGGGGACAAGGACAAAGCTATCTATTCCCCTCCCATACCAGGTAATCATTGCACTGGGGACGGCTCAGGCAGGGCCTAGCCTTGGGTGGGTCCTGACTATTGGGAACCACCTACCAGCCTGAGCCCTACCAGCCTTCAATCCCATGATGCCAAGGGTCCAACTGTCCACCCAGCTAGGGCCCTGGCTTCTGCATGCTTGCATGGGGAAGTGGCTGACTGTGACAGGTTTCTGGACCCTGCTGCCTAGGCTTCCACAGGACCCCAGGCAGCAGCCCCCGGTCCACCATGATTGACCCCATTGCAGAATCACCTGTTTTTGGCAGATCTGTACTTTGAACTCAGAGCCTGTACTCGCTAGGCAGGTAGGTGCTCCACCACTTGAGCCATGCCCCTAGCCCTCAGCTGGGATGACAGGTGCATACCACCCTCCGTGCTGGTGTTAGTGGAAGCCCAAAGACAGACTGGCCTGTAGGGGTAGCAGTCTATGGCCCACTTTTGCTTCTTCTTTCCTCTGCCACCTTCTTAGATCTGGGCTGTCTGGCTAAACATGCGTAGCTCTAAAAGCTGCCCTAGTTCCTTCCTGGACAGAAGGTTCTTCAACAACAAACTGCCCAGAGTTTGACAATCAGGGAACTGGAGAACATGTCACAGTGACAGTGATCTGGGAGGGCAGAGTCCCGAGGGATGAGACTCCCAGCTACTATACCTGGGTGCTCCATGGGCCTTACCTGCAACAGCCCCTGAGCATCAGGCTGCGGGGCATACCTCCACGCCCAGCACTTATGGCTGGGGTAATCACTCCAGTTTCCAGAATCCATCATGACCTGGCCAAGTTTTGCCAAGGGCCATGAACACAAAGAACAGCTATAGCCATGCCTGCCTGCACGGACCAGGGACTGAGGATTTGGGCACTTGCACCTGTCTATGCATAGGGTCATGTATATCACACCCACGCCTGCCATGACCCACTGGATGTGGCCCAGGTCCACTGAATGTCTGAATTTTCTGCTATCCCCCTCTGGGTAGGGAACAACCCTGGGAGGGAGAAGAGATGGGACTTTGGGCCCATTTTACAGATGTTACTTCTTGATCCTTGTCACCTTGATGTGAAACAGCCAAAGCCATGATCTTCAGACCCACCCTGACGGTCATGACCCACCAGGGCTTCACTTCTGCTGCCTTCCCTTGCTGTCTTCATTCCCCTTACCATGTAGCCTAGCTCCCCAAGAGTTCTCAGGTTTCTGGCCCTGCCACCTGAGGTCCTGGGGAACCCCGAACATCCTGGTCCCCAGCCAAGCACCTGTGGCTACAAGGGAACAAGAAGCCCTCCGCATCCCTTTGGGGCCCAGCAAAGCATCTTAGACCCAAGCCTAACTAATCCCAGTCCCGATGTGGTTTAGGTACTCAGGTTACCCTAATCCCGAAACCCAAGCCGGGGTCCCAGCAGCTTTCCCAGCATCATTTTAGGAGCACACGGGTCTTCCCAGTGGGGAGCAAGAGGACTGCTCCTTCTGTGTTGGAGCTGACCCCCACTAGGGATGGGGCACAGTGCTGGGCACCCCTAGTGGTAAAAAAAAAATCTAGCCTTGAGGAACCCAAGAAAGTTCTAGAAACACTAGGCCCTCTGCTGCCCGGCTGGACCTGCTG